AGAATAGCTACATTGATGAGTTCTTGTAGGTAAACTAAATGAGGACCAAATTTCTCACGCAATGCATGGCAACCAATTATTTATGTTCTCTAAAAATCTACGTCTTCATTCTTTTTTTGTTATTGTAGTTTTTTCAGACATGATAGACATGACGGATTAAAGAAATCATGATTAGTAAAATGGTACCAGTTTTACAACAAATAGTACTAATAAAAAAATCAAATTTTGTAAAATAGTACCAATATTACCACAAATAAAACCACGTCTTCTTCAATGCAGTATCAGTTATTCATCAATTAGTACTTACTTTGTAGAAAAAAAAAATAGATTACTTCAAATTTGATCAACATTTTCAAAATTAGTATCAGACCTAAAGTAAGATAGTACCGCAATTATGATGTTCTAGTACTAGATTCGAGTCTTCAGTAACAACTCTGACGAACATAAGAAAACACCGAATTTTGTAAAATAGTACCAGTTTTACAACAGATAGTACCACTTCATCATCTATGCAGTACCAGTTATTGATCAATTAGTACCTGCTTTATAGAAAGAACAAAAAATGGATTACTACAAATTTTGTCAACATTTACAAAAAGTAGTACCAGTCATAGAGTAAGATAGTACCAGTTTTATTTTGTTGTAGTACCTGATATTGAGTCTTCAATACCACTTGTAACGAACATATAAAAACACTGAATTTCGGTCGTAAAAGATGTTTATACGACCCATAATCACTCTCACATTAGTTTCTATGAAATTTGAAATTTGGTTAATTAAGTTTAATCGCAAATTGGTCACGCACTCAACACACTAATGGAAAAACACTATACACTTCATCTCATTGAATGATACCAGTTTTGATGGAAATAGTACCGCTTCTTCTTATGCGTAGTACCTATTATTGATCAATTCGTACCTACTTTTGGTCAACCAAAATAGATTATTTCAATTTTGGTCAACATTTACCAAAAGTAATACCAGACCTAGAGTAAGGTAGTGCCACTTTACGGTGTTATAGTACCAGATATCCGGTCTTTAGTACCACTTGTAATGAACACACAAAAACACCTAATTTCGGTCGCAAATTATGTTTATACGACCCATAATCACTCTCACATTAGTTTATATGAAATTTAAAATATTTTTAATTGAGTTTAATCATAAGATGGTCATGAACTCGACATTCTAATGAGAAAACACTACCAATACACTTCATTTCATTGAATGACACACTTTATCTCATAGAATCATCACACATGACTACTCCAAATTCTACATATTTGTCTTAACTTCAACTATTTTCCATACAAATCAAACTATAACGATCCACGTGAAAAGTTAGACATGAAATATTAAAAAAGTACGATTCCTAAACTAGTACCAGATTTTTCTATAATTGTACCACATATTGTTCTACGTAGTACCAGTTTTTGAGCGATTAGTACCTACTTTTGTGAAGGAAAATTGATTATTTCAATTTTACTCAATATTTACAAAAAGTAGTACCAGACCTAGAGAAGGATAGTACCACTTTTGTATTGCAGTAGTACCTGATATTGAGTCTTTAGTACCACTTGTAATGAACACATAAAAACACCGAATTTCGGCCTCGAATGATGTTTACATGACCCGTAATCACTCTCAAATTGGTTTATATGGGATTTAAGATGTTTTTAGTTGAGTTTAATCCTAAAATGGTCATGAACTCGACACACTAATGAGAAAACTCTACTAATACACTTCATTTCATTGAATGACACACTTCATCTCAGAGAATCATCACACATGACTATTCCAAATTCGACATATTTGTTTTAACTTCAACTATTTTTCATTCAAATCAAGTTAGAACAATCCACGTGAAAAGGTAGACATGAAGGATTAAAAAAAAATACAATTCCTAAACTAGCACCAATTTTTTTGCCATAATAGTACCACATATTGTTCTATGTAGTACCAGTTTTTGAGCGATTAGTACCTACTTTTTTTAAGGAAATTTGATTATTTCAATTTTACTCGACATTTACAAAAAGTAGTACCGGACCTAGAGAAGGATAGTACCACTTTTGTATTGAAGTAGTACCTGATTTTGGGTATTTAGTACCACTTGTAATGAACACATAAAAACACGGAATTTCGGCCTCGAATGATGTTTACATGACCCACAATCACTATCACATTGGTTTATATGAGATTTAAAATGTTTTTAGTTGAGTTTAATCGTAGAGTGGTCATGAAGTCGACATACTAATGAGAAAACACAACCAATATATTTCATTTCATTGAATGACACACCTAATCTCATAAAATCATCACACGTGACTACTCCAAATTCTACTTATTTAATTTAACTTCAACTAGTTTTTATTCAAATCAAGCTAGAACGATCCACATGAAAAGGTAGACATGAAGGATTAAAAAAAAATACAATTTCTAAACTGGTACCAGTTTTTCCCATAATAGTACCACATATTGTTGTACGTTGAGTGATTAGTACCTACTTTTGTGAAGGAAAATTGATTATTTTAATTTTACTCAACATTTACAAAAAGTAGCACTGGACCTAAAGAAGGATAATACCACTTTTGTATTGCAATAGTACCTGATATTGGGTCTTTAGTACCACGTGTAATGAACACATAAAACACCGAATTTCAGCTTCAAATGATGCTTACATGACCCATAATCACTCTCACATGGGTTTATATGAGATTTAAAATATTTTTAATTGAGTTTAATCGTAGAATAAACATGAGCTCGACACACTAATGAGAAAATCATCCTTAATATATATCACAACCACAATATTCCATATATAATGCAATTAAAGTCTTTAAGGTGCAACATTCCATATATGAAATTAAAAAAATATTATAATTGTTGGATAATCCATTAATAAAACTTTATTTTATTTTTCCATAAAAAATCGTTACAATTTTTTTCTTTACTTTTTTTTTCTTTTAATGAAAAACATTTACAATTTTTTTTCATTAATAAAACCGTTATAATTTTATAAAACCGTTACAATTATTGGATAATCCATTAATAATTGTTGGATGAAACTAAAAACAAATATTGAAATTGTTGGATAATCCATTAGAAAAAACCGTTACAATTTTTTTTTTTTCATTTTATTAATCATTTTTCTAATAAGCTAATTGGATTTAGTGGTATAACCAAACCTCTTACAATTGCGAAAAAAAAGAAAAAAGAAAAAATGATAATAATAATAACAACAACAACAATTTCAATAGTTTTTTTAACATAATTAATAGGTCAGGATCCTCAAATTTATAAATATTAAATTATTCATTTCATTTTATGCAATCAACAATGATAAAGTTTAATATTTTTATGATCTTTGTTTACTAATGTCAAAATTTTTAAAATGTGATACTATTATTTAACATAATTATAATTTTAATATTATTTAACATACATATAGTAAGATAATACCAGTTTATATTGTTGTAGTACCTGATATTGGATCTTTAGTGCCACTTGTAATGAACACATAAAAACACCGAATTTCGGTCTCAAGTGATGTTTATATGACCTATAATCACTCTTACATTAGTTTATATGAGATTTAAAATGTTTGTAATTTAGTTTAATCATAAAATTATCATGAACTCGACACACTAATGAGAAAACAGTACTAATACACATCATTTCATTGAATGACACACTTCATCTCATAGAATCATCAGACAAGACTACTCCAGATTCTACCTAAATATTTTAACTTCCACTTTTTTTTTTTTTTTTTTTTTATCACGCGTGAATGATCCACGTGTCATGCTAGACATGAAGGATTAGAGAAATCATGATTCTTAAAATAGTACCTATTTACCCATAATAGTACCGCATCTTCTTCTACGTGGTACCTGATTTTGATCAATTAGTACCTACTTTTGTGAAGGAAAATGGATTATTTCACTTTTGGTCAACATTTACAAAAAGTAGTATCATAAATAGAGTAAGATAATATCAATTTTATATTGTTGTAGTATCTGATATTGGGTCTTTAGTACCATTTATAATGAACACATAAAACACCGAATTTCGGTCTCAAATGATATTTATATGATCCATAATCACTCTAAATTTCATTGGGGGGAAAATTTCATTGCAGTGCTTGACTTTTTGTTATTGTGTCACAATAGGACCTAAATTTTTAACTTTTTCATTTGAATGTTTCAATTTTAAGTTATTCTCAATATAAGGTTTACTTTTACATTCTAGTTTTCAATTTAAGACTCCATATCAATTTGTATTTTGATATAATTATGTAAACAACAATACTTTTTTTTTTAAAAATTTATTTTGTAAGTACTTATAATTAATATATTAAATACCTTTAGTTAAATTATCTAATAAGATAATTATTTCATAATTTACATTTATGCAAAAACTTGATGAAATTTATTTTAAAATTTAAAAAATAAATATTAACTTAATTATAATCTAAATATGTGATAACATTAAAATATAAAATATTTAGAAAAATATTTTTATTTTATGTAAATAAACTTAGAAAATATTATTTGTTAAGAAAACTACCTACAATAGAATTTTTCGGGTATTAATTTTATATATTCTTAACTTTTTCAAAAATATAAATTTTATTCACAAACAATATTTTCTAAATTTTATTTAGAAAAAATAAATTTATTTTTATAAATAGTTTATATTTTAATGTTATCACAT